GAGAGAGAGAGAGAGAGAGAGAGAGAGAGAGTGTCTGTGTTGTGAATGTTCACCATAACATCCCCTGTTCCACCCAGATGAGTAGATCCAAAATCGCAGCAGCTTTACCTCTATTGAAGAAGATGAAGCATGCTTGAGATGAATCAATCCAGCATGGAAACAGTGTGTGTTGCCGCCATAGTTAGCAACATGAGGCACAATAGAAACAGCAGGCTCACCTTTATGCAAGCAATATGCCTTCATGAGTAGATCCAACATGATCATGGGAACCTGACCTTTATGCAAGCAATGAATGCTGCATACTTGAGAGGGGGTTTCCCAACAATGAGACAGTTAGCAATATGATAGACAATAGATCGATAATGTCATTTTCTTGACTGTATTCACCATTATTATCATTGGGAGGAGGCCTCCCATTTTATTTGTTTTCGCAGCTCCCCTCTTACTGTGCCTCTCACGTACACGGCTGGCCACGTTGATGATGGTTAAGCGCCAGCTTCCCCTCAGCCCCGTGTGCTTTAACGGCCCACTTGCACGTTACGAAAGGAGGCAGAGTAAAAGGGGTGACATGTATTTTGTCTGTTCTTTTAGTGACCGAAAGGCATTCCACGATGCAGACCCCAAATTCGAATTTCAGCGTCATGATCGGTCTCAGGCCAAGGAAGGCGAAGTCGGCGAGTTCCGAACGGTCACAGTCGGGGGTACCTTAGGAGTCAAGTCCAACAGGCACCCGGTGAACAGTCGCGTCCCAGAGGCAAAGGTTGGATTCCATAAGCAAACGTCACTTCTCATATTGAAAAGTCATATCCCACAGGCAAAGGACAGTTCTCCCGGCAAAAGTTGTGTCCCAGAGGCAAGAGTCACATTCCACAGTCAAAAGTCATGTTCCACAGGTGAATAGTCGTGAGTCACAGACCCAAGCAGGCAGCACAACAATGAAAATTCGGGAAAAGTACCAGGCTTTGACATTCTGAAGCAAGCAGGCCGTGGGCATGTGGTACCGGGCCTAAGTCAAGCCAAAGGAAGCAAAGGCTGGGACGAGTTGAGGCTCAGTCCAAGTCAATATAAGGACTGGCCAGCCACACTTCGGGGGAGATTGCTCATTCGTGAGAAGTGTGGAAGTGCTGCTGAAGCGCTTGTGCGCTATCTGCGAGTGGCATGCGCGCGAGAGCCCTGCTGCGCAGCGCTGCACTGAGAGGGAAGGCGGCGGCCATAGCCGCATAAGTTAGTAGTAGGGATAGAGCTGAGTAGCAGAGGATGTATTCAGAGTCAAGATTCTCAAGATTCTCGAGATCGAGATCAAGATCGAGTAAGAGAGAGAGAGAGAGAGAGAGAGAGAGAGAGAGAGAGAGAGAGAGAGAGAGAGAGAGAGAGAGAGAGAGAGAGAG